TTAAAAAAAAAAAAAAAAAAAAAAAAAAAAAAAAAAAAAAAAAAAAAAAAAAAAAAAAAACACCATTTTTCTAAGTTAGCAATGCTTCTCATTTGGCTTGAGAAATCTTGTATTTTGATGTGGCAAAAGCCAAACTGCTCAGCAATTCTGACTAAGAGAAGGCCATCCTTTCATCCTAGTACTAGTATGTAACTACTAGTAGAGTGACATTCAGAATTATTTTTTTTAGTAATAGTATTCTAAGCTACTAAGTAGTAGTAGTAGTACTACTACTACTACTAATAATAATTACTATTATTATAATCAGAGACAGCTTTTCTGCCAATTTGATCACCTTTTCAACAACCTGTCGCCACCCATTCACCATTACCAATCATCATAGCACCTTTTTCATGGTTGCTATCTTCCAAAGCAACATTGTGAATATCCAAAGAAAATGCAACTGCTAGTATTTTCAGATCCCCAAGTCTCATTTCCAATTCACTTACATCCCCCTGCAGTGAATACAGCCCGACCAAAAGACCAATTTGAATTTTATTCCCTGCCAAACTGCAGTTTGATGGCATCATTAGATGTGATTCTATTCTTAATGGCATAACTGCATGTCACTCGACAGAAAACACCAGTATGATGCTTCTGTAACAAAGTTATGGAGAAATGAAATATTGACTTCATCTAGAAAGTAGTCTGTGTATTTGTCATTTTTTCTCTCAGCTTAAAAAAGTGTGTGTGTGTGTGTGTGTGTGTGTGTGTGTGTGTGTGTGTGAGAGAGAGAGAGAGAGAGAGAGAGAGAGAGAGAGAGAGATGTAAAAATAAACTTTTCTGACCATAAAGAAATTTGAACCAAAATGGACAAAGCTTATAATATGTGCCTCTTAAAGCTGTAACGTCAACTCTCCTAATCTCTTGTCATCAATCCCACCGCAGAGGAAGTTGCAGAGATTTCGGTACGGATACTGAACGAAGTGATAAGGAAATGAAAAAGCTGATTTATTCAAAAATCTCAGTGACCAGGGATCAATGTCTATAATATAGTGTGTGCATTCTGACCAACCTGGAACAATGAAATAAAAATCTAACTTTTTCAGCTAATTAAGTTAAACTCTCCCTGCAAATCCACTCAGTGTAGATGACATTTTTTCTACAAAGACCAACAACTGCATAGATTTCTATTTTCTCTCATTCTTTTAATTCCTCCTCATTAAAATCCAAGTTTTCATCCCAGCTGATTAAGTCTGATTGCTGATTTATAATTTAGTGACAATGTTATGAGGAAGTTTTGCAAACAATTAGTCACAAATAAACACAGCTATCCTACCTGAAGAGATGGTAGCAGTCATCAGTATGAGTAAAAATGCCAATGTAATTTGGATTTGCTCAAAGGGCTAATCAACAGACTGAAAATAAAGGAGACAAGGTACCCTACATAATCATTATGGAATGTATAATTTTCAAATAAGTAGTAAGATACCCAGCAGGCTGACTCAATGGTTTTCAACTTGAAAGCTTTTATAAAACACGGCCTGGAAAGGCTTAGCGAGGTACGCATAAATGTCCTGCAAAGATTTGGCTAAAACAAGAGGAGGTATTCTCTGGGTGACACGCCAGGCTTTGCCTACAGATATATCTTCTCACTCACACCTAATGTAATCCATCTTGCTTAATTTGGCATATGTCATACTAATTTCTAATGATTGACACCTATTATCATTAAGAAAAATATGCAATGTCTCTTAAACAGACAGGGAGCAGTGCCAGTAATTTACTTTGAAATTCCATCAAACTGGACTAGAAGGAGGAGAGGGGGGGCTGCATTACCAAGAAATACATACTAGTACTAGTATATATATGTTTTCATGGTTGCACCAAAGGACCAAGCCAACTCTAATTTTTCATATAATTCTGCAAGTCAACACAGCTGCATACCATCAGCTGAAATGGAAGACGAGAATAACAACACTGTTCTTCATAATGCCATCTCATCATTAAGATGTGACACACAATACTACAATATACTCCAGCCCAAAGACACAGAAAATTATGACCAATATATGCAGTAAAGACCATATTGTGTGCATTATAAACCAATGTTAAGTCTGATCCAGTGAATCACCTACATAAGAATGCATAATAATACCACAAAATTCACCATAACTGTATTCAAAATAAACTAAAAGTCTATACATCACCTAGCACTTGTACAGCCCACCTTATAGAGACAACCATTGGTCCAAAAAAGTTGGACTCCATCAAATTCTATTATCCACAATCAGGTTATTACTTACACAGTATTGGAATAATTCTGGTCTAAGTTAGACCTAGATGTGAACAGCTTTTTAAACACCAGCAGAATGAATCATAACCTAGCAGTAACAGGTGGTGGAATAATCTTCCTACAGGTAAAACTATGGATAATATCATGAAGACACAGTCTCAAATCAATACCCGTCTTCTGCTTTACTGCCGTGATTTACCCCAGATGAAATGAGGGGATTTGGGTATGTGAATGGGTGTGGTCATGGAATGAATTTATAAATACATAAATAAATAAATAAATAAATAAATAAATACTGAGGCCATGATGATATAATTACATCATGAGAATAGTTAAGCAAACACGGGGTGGGTGGGTGGGTGGGTGGGTGGAGGGGGAGGTGGGTGTCCATGCCATTAAATTAGCAAATAGAATCTATTCATTTTTACCATTGTTCAAAAGCGTGAAGATCGCGTACCCGGGGGTAGCGCTAACACTCGCCAATTTAGCCAAATGCTAAAACTGACTTAAATTGGCTAAACAAAAAGGGCTTGATTTGACTAATTTTAGTCAAATTAGAACCATTTGGATAACAAAGTGACAAAAAAGTGGTGATTTGGCTGAGGGAAAAAAATTGCTAGCGCTACCCCAGATACCCCTCCTATTCTGTACAGTTTGTAGACAAGTTTGTGAAAATGATGATAAAAAATGGATGACCCCTAAAAGAGTAAATCACAGGAAACTGGTTTATAGGTAAACTGAAACCAACATACATGAGTCTACAGGCACGAGTGACATACGACACAGACATGTAGATCTGCTTTCACACCAACCTGTATCCTGTGCCATACTGGTGAACATCTAGCCAGGTACATGGTGGACTCAAGTGAGACGAGATGGAACAGCTTCTGTGTGCCGTAATTATTTTATATCACTTTTAAGCTTAAACATATACCAGTAAACATAAAGCAAGACACCTGCATGTTTAAAGATCTGAGGATTCCCATCAAAACAAACAAATACTACCTGGCATTTGTTTACTTCTCACCATCAACAAAGATCTGTGGCGCTTGCACATTGTCACATATACATATATCTCTACTAATTGCATGATCATTGCAAACATATTCCTTCACGCTCAGAAAATAAAACTAATGGAAGCAAAGCTAAGACATTAATGGCTGTTAAAGCAAACCTGTTTGTCTCCAAGCCTAGATCAAAACAAACTCCAAAACAACACCGATGGTCACTTGTTTACCTCGCCACTGTGTTAACTCCTGCAATGGCCGACGCCTTCTCAAGGCGTCTGTCTAACACCTCTGACGTACATATGCATTAACACATCAGTTACACACTGCCAGTCAACTCGAAATGAACAACACTTTGGGCATGAAAGGGTATCCATATACCACTTGCTCTATCTCCATTCTCCTCCCATTCTCAAGCAAAGTTAACGTGATATGGATGGAATATCATGAGTGAGCTTTCCCGAGTGTGACGAAGGAGAAAAGGTCTCCTTTTTTTGACCAATGACAATAAGAACAAGATTTATGTTGATTTTTACTTGTAAGAGGTGCATTTGTAAGATTTCTGATTATATTAATCTATGTTATCTACAAAAACAATGTTTTTAAATACTAGTATTTGGAGAGCCTAAACACAAAGACATCATCCATTAAAGATTGTCATATTTTCTTCCCAGTTCTCCTAAAAAAGTTCTAATTAGACAGAAAGCAAAAATATTTTAAAATCTTTGTTACAAAGCGCTGTTATTTCGCATTCCATGATGTCAACAATAGAAAAAGAAATCGGTATACTCCCTTCTAAAACACATACACACATTAGCTCACGTGTGCAAATACACACACACACAGAAGAAAATTCCCTCAAAACCTTGCCAACAATCTAAGCTTAATCCCGAATATCTACT